TGGACAGTATTTCTTCAGAAGATCCCAAAATTCCCAGCGTGGAGGAAGTGGTAGAGAAGTAGCTATGCACTTGGCCTGGTAGTATTTGAATGCAGATAACAAGGGTCTTCCCCCCACTCTTTCTAAGCGAAATAATGAAGTAACTTAATATTCTAGCAGTCCCGGTGAGGGAGCCTGGCTAAAGACACTGTTGAGAGGGAGATAAAATTGTATGTTCTTAAAAAGAAATGTACCTCAGATAAGTGTACAGCCCACTTCCTTCGTTCTTGTTTTTTCTTTCTTATGTTGTATAGACCACTCCTTTTTTATTTAATATATTGACTTGTTTTCTGGTGATCCTCTTTGTATAATACTCAACCAAAAGTTCATTCCTGTCTGAGTGAAGCTGTTGTTTGGAGTCCTTCTTAGTATTATTTAAAGAGTTCTTAGTTTTTGTTTTTGTACATAATTTTAGCACTTTTTATGTAACCCTGATCCCTATATATATATATTTAAATTGTGGAATGTGATACTGTATATAAGAACGACCAGATTTCTTAGGTATGTAAAATAAAGTTCTTTCGGTTACAAAGCTCCCAGCCCTTTGGTACTTTAAATGATGGGCCCGATCCTGCTCCCACGAGAATGCCATTTTGCCACTGACTTCAGCAAGATCCGGACTCCCTTCGGTCAATCCAAATAAAAGGTGTTTCGTTGCAAATAGGCCCATTCAGGGCAGCGTCTCTTGACCTGGCTGAAGAGTTTCCCAGCCGCTCACCGCCGCAGAGGGCCTTCACGTTTTCCCTCTAGCTTTGCACAAGCCGCCTTCCCCAGCTGAGCTCTGTGACTGCTGGGTGTAGGCTCGCAGACAGCCCGTGTTTACTCAGGCCAGGGCCTCCCTCGGTGGAAAAGGCAATGGGTCTACCGACCAGTTCAGGGCAGCGCTGGGGAAAGCGCTTCCACTCCCGTGCCATCTTCAGCGTTAGAGACCGTCCAGCCAGGCTCCCTTGCGAGCCCCTGTGCTTCAGTAACCGGCTCCGGAATTCTTCTCCGATTTTCTCTGCGGGGCTTGCACCCAGCCCCAGTTCGCAGCAGAACGGGTGGACCTGGCTGGCTGGCTAATGGACAGCAAAGGGCTCTGGCGAGCCCCCTCCCGGGGGTGTAGAGAGCAGAGACTTCTCTGGAAGAAAGGGGATTCCGACAGCGCCGGGGCTCCTCTCCTGCAGGGGGAGCGTGGGGGCCCCAGGGGCGGACAGCGTTAAGTGGCTGCAAGTGAGGCCTAGGAGGAAAAACAACACGAGGAGCCTTCCCGTCAGTGCTGTGGGGGGACAAACCCTACAGCCGGGGGTGGGGAAGCGGGAGCTGATCCCAGCAAGGACGTTCCGGCTTGGAACTGATTCGTTTGTAATCTCGGGAAGAGGCGACCACCTTGAAATTCCTAAACCGCTTCGGTCCCCCTCCCCCAGCTCTCCACCGCTTCGGGGTAGCTACCAAGGGGGGACGCCCCAGAGTCCAGCAAAGGCCCCTTTGTCACCTGCGCTCTAACCTGAGTCTTTTCAAAATACAGTGTCGCTCCCATGCTCCTGGAAGGATCTGACAGAAACTCGCCCTTCCAGACCTACTGGCTCCACCTTCCTTCCCAGGCCAGCTGAGTCGCTTGGGATAACAGTGCCCACCGCGCTGGTATTTGGTTGGGCGGTTGTTGGTTTTATGGTGTGAGTCTGCCGCTTAAACGAGAGAGGGTCCCGTTGTCGAATGCAGAGAGAGAGAGCGAGAGAGAGAGAGAGAGAGAGAGAGAGAGAGAGAGAGAGAGAGAGAGAGAGAGAGAGAGAGAGAGAGAGAGAGAGAGAGAGAGAGAGAGAGAGAGAGAGAGAGAGTGTGTCTCCACAGCAGTGAGACCTAGAAACAAGGTTAAAAAGTCTCAGAGGGGCAGCCCTGTTAGTATCTAAGATGCCACAGGACTACTTGCTTTTAAAGTTATAGACTAACAGATAGATTGATAGACTCTGTTAGTATCTAAGATGCCACAGGACTACTTGCTTTTAAAGTTACAGACTAACAGATAGATAGATTAGATAGATCGATTCATGAGCTTTCATGGGCAAACCCCACTTCGTCAGATGAGCTGGAGAGGAATAACAGAAACCCAGATTTGTATAACAGAAAAAGAAGGGAGAAAATACCTGTTAGGGTGTCATTCTATTTCCTCCCTCCTCCTCCCCGCGTGTTTCAAATACATTCACTGTTGTATAGAAATAACAAGCCAGGACCTTGGGGAATCTACTCGGCAAAAGAATATGGGTTTGTACACACACAAAAAAACGATTGCTTTTGCTAAGAGAAGGTGGCTGTTGCCCTGGCTTTCATTTAAGGCTTTAGCTTGAAATATACAAAGAAGCTTTTTAACCCACGCTAGAAGCTAGTCGTGTTCTTCACAACCTAGTTTGATGCCTAAACAAGTCAGAGGAGGGGCCCAATTTGGTACCACTCAAGCAGGACTCTGGCTTTATTTGTCCTGAGCAGGGAGGGTGGACTCTAGGAGCAGCGTGGTCACTCTCCGGAATACCACGAGCCTCTCAGGAAAATGCCCTTTCTTCCTCTGACTAGCCATTGAGCCTAATATTAACATCAAAACTCATATTGTCCGGCTGTGAGTGGACCCCCGAAATCCGCGTCGATTCCGCCGCGGGGTAACACGAGAGATTGTTTGGAGTCAGTTTGAGTAAAGAAGGTTTTTCATTAAATAAAGAAAATATTTCCCCAAAAGAGACTCCCTGTGACCTCCCTGGCTGGAGCTGACATGCCAGGCTTCCCCATGAAAGTCCTCGGTGTGTTTGCAATTAGAGTGTTTTTGTTTGATATTAATAACGATAATCTTTACCTACGTCTAAAGCCAAAGCAAACAGGCCCTGGAAGCCCACAATCAAGAGGTAATAACTCGGGGAAGATAAGCAGGTTGGGATTTAATCTAGCCTCTTTCCAAAAAGGGGGGGGGGAGGGTTGGGCACAAAGTGTCCATGTATTGGGCACAAAGTGATCAGGTTTAAACTAATGAAAATGATTTTCGGCCTGCGTTTTATGAAATGTGGAACATGACTCCCCGAATGTCTCTCATAAGCCCTGGCTCCTGCGGCTTCACTTGTGTTGCTTAACTCAGAGCCTGTGTAGTTGTTTGTATGGAATCGGACAGTGGGGTGGGGAGGGGGCCATTTATGTCCCGGATCCAAGTGGCGCTGTAATGTACTGTATGGAAGGGAACAGCCAGGTCATTTCGCTGAGGCACTATAGAGTCGCTGAGATGTCCTTGGCCACTAGAATGCCCTGGTGGAACAGCTGGATTGCGGCCACAGAGGTGGTGGGAAGAGATGAAGGTAGGGGAGACGGGGTTTGAATCCCCACTAAATACTACAGTACACATGCAATGTTCTCTTCTTATGCGAAAAGGGTTACAGATTCCAATCCAGTATATTTAGATCAGCGGCCCTGCTTCTTCTTCGGTAAAGCTTTCACCAACTGCAGGGCCCATAGCAGAAGGGGGATCGGATGCAGAGCTGTGGCTGAAATCCAAGAAGACCATGGCACAGGGGCGCGATGCAGCTATAGCCAAAGGGCAAAGTCCGAGGTCTCGGTAAGGAGCCCTTGACAGGGCCGGTTTGTTGTGGCTGTGGGGACCCAGGCTAGCGATTTGCCAGAGCTTTGCCCTTTTAAGGCAAGCGCGGCTGTTTTCGCTGGGAGAAGCGAGGGGTGTGCGGGAGGGCTTGAATAACTCAGCCATGTGCTCACTTGGGTATCCCCTTCTGTAGCAGCAGGGACTAGCAACTTCCCCCATTCTCAAGGCTGCTAACCACCCTCGTCCCTTTGATCTCCCTTGGGAGTCCCAGAAGGCAAGCAGAGGCCAATGTCTTCTTCAGCTGGCTTCTGTGCAAACCCTTCCCGCAGCTCTGGCAGGTACTAATGTGTTTACTTAGGTGCGCCCAGTTCCCAGAGCTGGAGGGAGCCAAACGTTTAGCACGTTGGTGGCGCCCCCTGAATACAGGTCCAAGTGGGAAAGCGATTTTGGCTGCTCGTTAGAGCTGAAGGCGGAGCGCTGGGGGCGGGGGGAAGGGTGGCCCGGCTAGTACTGAGCTAGGAGCTAAAATGTTCAGCGTTGCCCCCTCCCCCAAGGGATCTGAGCTAGCGGGATAGCCCGTCACACACCGAATGCTGCAAAGCGGTGCCGACAGCCACTGGCCTCAGCCCTGCAGGCTGCACCCAGGCAAAGCTCCCTCTGATTCCAGTGGGGACTTCTAGAGAACTCGTTTCCTCTGGGCTTTGTTGGCTGAGTCTGGGCATGTGCCTTTGGAATAAAGGCTGCCCGGTAAGTTTAGTCTCAGCTGTTAAATATTTGTAGCTCTGGCCCCTGTACTCAAGCCAGCTCGATGGGAGTTTTGCTGAAAGTGGGTGCTCCAGTAACTGCCTCTTGCCTTCAGTTGCCTCCGCAGTTAATTAGATGTGAGATCCGGCGCTTTTACAGTACAAAATGCGCCCAGCCCCTACAAGGCTAAGAAGAGAACTTGAGCTCCTAAATCAGTATCCCCGCCACTCTCTCTCTCCCCCTCTCACTCATTGGCATATAATGGCTTCATTACATACGCCCCAGTGATTCAATTTTGGGTCATATCTGTAAAGATAGCGGCAGCATGCGGTGATTTTTCATACCCCGAGATTTACATTTCATTCCTACATGTTCCAGCTCTACTGCTGCATCAAGGCCGAATCCTTGTTACACTCACATTTTCTGTATGTAATGTACAGTATGACGTGGGTTTTACCCAAGGAAGCTCACGTTTCTCTCTATTTTTGTTTGTCTCTTCGGTGCCACAGGACTACTCGTTTTTAAAGTTGCAGACTCACAAGACTACCCCTCTGAGACTTTCCCCCCCTTTTCTTCTCCCTCCATCCCCTTTTTATTTTGGAACTGGACTTTTAATACTCCAGTCATCTGAAGAAGTGGGTTGTACCCAGGAAAGCTCATGATAGCATCTACATGTTTTGTTAGTCTTTAAGGTGCTGCTAAACTATTTGTTGGTTTTTAAGTTTTTCCTCTGAGACTTGTTTACAGTGTGTGATAACACTTTCTTTGGTCTCTTATTTTGGACTGTTTTTGGAAGAAAAGTTAAACACCAGCCATTTCCGAAGAAGGGAGCAAAGTCACGAAATAAAATCTGCTGTTCAATAATTTTGCTATTTGAAAAAAAAAACCGAATCCTTCTTTTATGGTGGAGGCACATAATCGTAATCTAGTAAAAATATGTTTTAAATTCTATATGTAAAAAAATTATAACAGAGCGATTCCTACCGGCCGAGGGACACCTCTGAAATGCGGTGTTTTCTCCTATGAAACTTTCTTGTTAGTTTTAAAACTCTCTACATTTTTCTCTGTTGTAGCAAGAGTTTGAAAGTCTGGGGCTCGCTGGGATCTCATTCTCAGCATGTCAAGCCCCAGATCAGAAACTCACCACCCTTTCCCCCCCTTACAGCAGCCTCATTAGCCAACCTTGTATTTGGGGTGGAGGGTGTTCTGCTTCTTTTAGTTCCCCTCGCCTGCTTTGCTGCACGTTTGCAAATTTGTTTTGAGATCACTTTACAAAAGGAAGCTGGCTCCTCTAAGGGATGCTAATTACAGATTTTCCTGAGTGACAGCCTGTTTTTTTCCCAAAGAGTCAGGAAGAAGGGAAACTTTAGAGTTCTTCTCAGACTCTTGGGAAAGGCATTTCTAAACAACCTCAAACACTCCAAATAAGCAGCTACCCATTCGAAGACACACAGACAATATTTTGTAAGACACGCCAAAGGGGGTTGGTATTGTGACTGCAAGGTATATTGTACATACCTGGAGAGGAACCACTGAAGAGGGACCAGAGCAGTGTACCTAACCCTTGAAAGGCAAAATGTATTTGTGAGCAAAGCATAAATCTGTAAACAGGTCTATTATAGTCAGTGTGAACATGCTAAATTAATAGAGAGGTAGCCGTGTGAGTCTGATCTTGCTACATTAACAGATCGGTGCGCTACAATCCAAGACAGTCTTCGAGTTACTGCTGACCACAACCGCTTTATTTGGCTGAGGATTTCTTGCAAAACCACGGAGAACGGCTGAATGGCAACCTGGACTTCAATAGAGAGCGCTGAAGCTCAGCGCTTTCCTTTTCTGTAACTTTATTCCCTTATCAGCGCGCTGGCTTTCTTACCGTATTCATTTCAAAGGGGGCTTGCTGCCGGTTTATGGCCCTAAATAACCTGGAACCGTACAGATGTAGCCTTTCCAATGTTTGGATAACGGTATCCCGACTGTTTGAAGGGGTCCGGGCAGGGGTTTTATTTATTAAACTTTTTTATGTCTCCCTCTGATATATTTTAAAATGGGCGTTCACCTTAAAGCAGTAAAGTTCCCCTGTGGGAACCGAACAGTTATAGATCAGGTTCCCACGGGAGTCTCCCCTGAGGGGCGGGGAGTCCGGCGAATACTGTACAAAGAGACGCGTGGCTTTTCAGGCTACCTGCTCCAGTCCGAAGGTCTCCTTTTCAGAAGGGTTTGTGGGTTACAGCCTGCATCAAAGGCAGTCCTTTAATAACCTGTTTCACACCGAATTCCTCGCCAGTCTCGTTTATTTAAAGGGGGCTTGAATAAAACGACTAGACCAAGAGGTAAACTCACAGCCTATGTCTGCGGCTTCTTGAGGGCGGTTAGTCAAAAAATCCTTCTGCTGGATACAGAGAATAACTCGCCGAGACTGGGAATTTCGGACCAGTCGTTCGCAAACGGTTTTATTTAATCCAAAGAACACATTTTCCTACCATATAAAACCCAGCTGAATGTGGCCAAAGGGTTCCTACGCGCTGGCAAATGCCTGTTAAATGGCTTCATTACCACTTTAATGGCCTCTTTAACAGTTTCAATGATCTGCTGCGAGGACTCTGGAAGGCTTTTGACACCAACTTGTGTAAAGTTACTCAGGGATTGGGAAGGGGGGGGTAGAAATTTTACACTTCCAGGAGGGGTTTGTGGCACTGACAGCTGGGACGCATCTGTAACGGTACAAGTTTGTCTGAAAGCAGAAAATTAGCAACTTCGAAGCACTGCTCTACTGCTGTGTCTCCAACACCATCAGGCCACAGGAAAAAAAGAGCAAAGGAGTGGAAAAGAGATTTTCTAAGGCAAAACAACTACAAATTGTCTTTTGTGAGTAACTTTCCTGGCAGGATCAGCGAACACCAAACCCTGAAATGTAGTCGAAGTGCCCCCTCTTCATTCTTACCTGACAGTGGTATTGCTCCGCAGGAATAATTTGTTAGCGTTATGTGTTTTTTTTTCATTGTATAAATAATCTAATCAAAGGGCAAAACATCCCCCGGGAAAACGAAGCAAACGGATCCGATCACACCTATACAAACAAAGTGATTCAGTCTGGTTCGAACCGCAGCCCTGCTTGTAAGAAAATCAAGTGATTCAAAGTAACCGTTCACCATTCAGTTCCTGGGAATAGGGGGATTAAGGTGAGGCTGTAGCTTGTTTACTGCATAACCTGTTGGAAGACGCTTATACGCAGGAAATGTCACGTTTGGGGGTCTCTCTCCTCCCGATTTTTATTTTTTTCACGCCAAATTGCGAATCTCTCCCGCTGGAGTGGTGGTGACAATCACTACCCCGAAAAAGTGTATGCAAGTTCCAATGTAATAAACTCATCAGACAGTCCCAAGGAGCGGTGCCTAGCAAGTTGTCTCCTGGGGAATGGAGGGGGTTTGCCCAGACAACCTCAGTAGGGGTTGTGGAGGGATATGCTAATAAAGACTAGCCTCTCTGGACCAGCCTCCCGTAACAAGATGTCTATATAAAGAGCCCCGTGCCACAGAGAAAAGACACTTGGTCGGGCCGACCCAATTACTGAGGAAATTGCCCAAGAAAACTGCAGCGAGGCTGGCCGAGCCGGGTTCCCTGCTGTCCAGCCCTAACCCCCAAAGATGGAGGTGATGGACAGTTGCCAGTTTTCTCCATCCGAGTTCTTCTATGACAGCTCCTGCATCCCTTCCCCTGAAGGCGACTTCGGGGATGATTTCGAGCCGGGGCTGGCTGCCTTTGGAGCCCACAAAGCGGAGGGGCCGGGCTCCGACGAAGAAGAGCATGTCAGAGCCCCCACGGGGCACCACCAAGCCGGCCACTGCCTCCTGTGGGCTTGCAAAGCCTGCAAGAGGAAGTCCACCACCATGGACCGAAGGAAGGCGGCCACCATGCGCGAGAGGAGGCGGCTGAAGAAAGTGAACCAGGCTTTCGACACGCTGAAGAGGTGCACCACGGCCAACCCCAACCAGCGGCTCCCCAAAGTGGAGATCCTGAGGAACGCCATCCGATACATCGAAAGCCTGCAGGAGCTCCTGAGAGAGCAGGTAGAAAACTACTACAGCCTGCCGGGCCAGAGCTGCCCGTCGGAACCCACCAGCCCAACGTCCAGCTGCTCCGACGGGACGGTAAGAGAAGGGGAGCGGGGTGAGGTCCCGTTACTCTGCCAATTCGGATTCGGGGCGCGGCGGCGTGGAAGGGGGAGAGTTTGGGCTGAGCCCACGGAACCACTAAGGTGCGCTCAGGGAAAGGGCCCCGTGTGTGTGCGCGCTTGCAAACGGCCTTGTATTGCGTTACCGGGCTGGGGGGATTAATATGTGCAAAGGAGGCCACTTTGGGGGAATGCAGGTAGCTAGAACACAAGCTCGCGGTTTGCATTCCCCACTCCCTGTCGGCCAATATGGTCATTCTCCTTCAGAAGCACGGGTCTGGCCATGCTATACAGGGTCTCCAGTGGGGTTCCGCAGCTCTCCGCCCCCCCCCCCACTATAGAAATTGCCCCAGCACCGTTGTTCTCCTTTGTGTTTTGTAGCCAATGAAATCCCTCCTGGGGCATGGAGAGCTGAGCCTAGGGAGTGAAGCCTTTGCTGCTCCCCTCCCCCGCCCCAGCCCAAACAATGTTACAGTCTCCAGGGACAAAAGCGAGGGCAAGAGGGGGAGCCACCCAGCTCCAGCGTGGCCCAGAGGAGCTGCTGGTGCGTCCCCTCCCCCCTTCCCAGCAAGTTTGCGCCCTAAGTGCCAGGTTTCAATGTGCTTTCGCTCTGGGAAAGTGTCCGCTGACTGACTCGCCCGGCCTCCCTCCTGCTACCAATCCATTCGCCATGGTTAACGCGGTGCACATTGCGGAGGGGTTCGCCTTTGGCCACGCTGCCCCTGGCCCAAAGGGCCGCTGGAAACGGAGCTAATGGGAGCCCACGCTTTGGGAGGGGGAAGCGCCCAGGCGTGTCGGGGTGGCAGGGCCCCGCTGCTGGGCTGGCCGGGCTGGGCACGGTGTGGGGGCGCTCATTTCTTGTCTGTTTCAGGCTGAATGCACCAGCCCCGTCTGGTCTCGGCGGGGCAGCGGGTTTGATCCGGTTTACTGCCCGGACATCCACAGCGGTAAGAACGCAGAACTCTCCCGCCAGCTGTTTGGTTAGCGCCGTTCCACCGCGGGCATCGTGGCGCCGGTGCAGATGGAAAGGCAACACCTGCCATGAGTGTTCACCCTCCCGGTGATTTTTGCAAACGATGGGGCTGGGTGGACGCCCAAAGGGTCGGCTCCTGGACTCCCCGGGGCTGGGTGGGACTATGGAAAAGAGTTGGAATTGAAAGAGTGGCTAATTAGTGAGCGAATTGAGATTTGCTGGCTACGGAAGGATTGATCCATCCCCCGCCTTTCTCTGTCCCCCAGACAAAAGCACCGCCCTGTCCAGCTTGGACTGTTTATCCAGCATCGTGGATCGCATCTCTTCCACCTCCGAGCAAGCTGCTCTGCCTCTTCGGGACACCGCCTCCCTCTCGGCAAACGCCAGCCTCGATTCCCAGCCGGCTACCCCTCGGACCTCTCACTCCAGGCTCATTTACCACGTATTATGAGCGCTGAGCCTCTGAACCAGCCTCAGCCACTGTTCTTACGTGGGAAGGAGGAAACTCCCACCGTGGAGCAGCCGGGCCTCCCGGAGAACGAACGGCCCATGAGGCACGTGGAATCCAGGCGTTTCAAAATATGTATATACAGGAGGAGCTTTGGAAATTGTATATTTGTGAATGATATTGCCACGTTACCAGGAGATGTATTTGACTAAAGCATTGGTGACACACTGTAGTACTTAAAAAAAAAACACTTGTATTATATTGTTACCAGGCTAACTTTTTGGCCAACATACATAAGCTGTGAACAGAAGGCTGTCAGAAGTGACTCCCTGCAATGCTTACTTCATAATCATTTTTTCTTAACGATCTTGTTTGGAGGAAGCACTTTCATTCCTCCTGAAACAGCCAAGCAAGTAAGAGCTCACTTGCAAACAGTGCTCAGAATATTCGCCCCATAGGACACAAATGTATGCCATACATAGAAACCACTGCTGTCTAATGCTGTATATTTTATTTCCTTCCAGGGGATGCTTTTTGTTGTAAGCAGGTCAGTATTTGGGGTGGGGGTGTTCCTCAAAATAAAAGCAATTGAAATGGTCAAAGGCTGGGAATACATGGTATTCTGAAAATCCTGCTATAAATAAAACGTGTTCTGCTGGAAGTATTTCTTTTGTGGTTCTTTAAAACCATTTCCAAGTACTAAGAACTCTAGCCACCTTTTTTTGATTTATAGCTTTTGGACATGCTTACAAATTCTATGAATTCATCATGATAATTATGCTATTACATATTGCATGTGTCATCTAGAGCAGTGGTATTCAAACTGTGGGCCCGGATCCCCAGGTGGGTCACAACCCCATTTTAATAGGGTCACCTAGGCTGGCGTTAGACTTGCTGGTGCCCATCTCCAGAGCCCCACCCTGCTGGACTGAAATCAAAACCCCAGGGCTTCAGCTTTTGCTAGTGGGGCTGGGGTTACAGACCCTGTGGCCTGGGGTTGGTCCTTGGACTTTGACTTTGCTCCCCCCCAGCTATGAGGCTCTGGCTTTGGCTTCACTCTTCCCCCAGTTGGGGTGGGCAGGTTCAAGCCTCTTAGGATCATGTAGTAATTTTTGCTGTCAGAAGCTGCAGTGCAGTGTTTGAGAACCCTGATCTAGGAATGTCCCAAAGCCTTTTACAAACTAAAGCCCTGGTCCTGCAAAAAGTTAGGGATATGTTTAACTTGAAGCTTGTGAATAGTCCATTTGAGTTCAGTGGCACAACTCAAAGCACCTGCATAAATGTTTGCAGGATCAGGACCTAAAGGGACAATGCAACACTCCCTAGGTGAATGGTCCTTCCTCATGCAAGTTCATCCCAAAGTTCAAAAGTGATTACTATTAATGTACAATATAAAGGCCTCATCTTGCAAACCCTTGTTTAGTGAGTAGAGACCTGCTCCTCCTATTGACACTGATTTCAATGGGAACAGAACTGGGTCCCACTTCTACAGTTCTCATCCTGGCACACCCCCATTTATTTCTGTAGGAGTCATGCCACAGCAAAAATTATAGGATTTGGCCACTTTATCATGTAAGCCAACTGCAGGATTTGGCTTTTAAACTGTACGCACAAAGACTTGTGCTCTCCCTTACACTATCAGTGACAAGGCCTAACAATGTAACAGAGTGGAAGTTGACAGAGTTGATCAAAGTATTGCAAACTGTCTCTTTTTTCACACCCCAAACTACATTTCCAAGGTTCGTGAAACTCAATATTTTGCCTTCATTTTCTTTATTATGCTTCATATAACAGAAGTGCATGCATAATTCATAGACAGCGACAGAGTCATACAGCACTACAAATTGCCAGACAGCCTTTGCAAAATAACGATCTTTTAAAAAATATTTCCTTTCATATACTATGTCATTTCAGTTAACATATTCTACAACGAAAAAATTCCAGCCATTAGTGATGCTTTAGGTATAATCTAAAAATGTCTTCACAGCAATGTCCAGAAAAGAAAGATGGATTCTTTCACTAGCATTCAAGAGTATCTAGCATGAGAAATTAGCCTCTTGGTGTCAGAGCTCATGAACAAAAAGTGTATAAGCTTTGCTAGAATGAACTTATGACGATCTATTTGGCACGGTCATGTTATTATTAGCAATGGGTGCCTTAGAGCACAATCAGGGATGTAATAGTGTAGTTGAATAACCGATTAACCAATATGCAAAAGCTTATAGGTTAATGCTATAGACTACACACATTCCCTCCTTTGCCAGTAAATTTTTTAGCAAGCTGGCCAGGTCCCTGGCTCAGTCCTGGCTCACGCGGGGTCTGGGACCTACCCCCCACTGCAGCTCTGCATTTAAAGTGTGTTAGGAGCCAGGTGGGCAAACAGTCCAGATCAGGTCCTGCTCACACTGGGTCTGGGAGCTTAACCCCGCCCCAGGACAGGTGCTGCTGCCACCCCACACTACTGCCTGTGTTTTTTAAACTGGCTCCCCTCGTGGGCTAGCTCCCGCCTGGCACCAGCGCTGCTACCTCTGGGTATGTCTACACTGCATTCCTCCTTCGAGAGAGGAATGCAAATGTAGACAAACGAAATTGCAAATGAAGCGCGGATTTGAATTTCCCACGCTTCATTTGCATAACCGCGGCTGGCCGGTTTTTCTAAATACCCTATTTCGAGATAAAAAACACTGTTTAGATGCGGTTATTTTGAGAAAAAAAACTTCTTTCAAAATAACCCTTACTCATAAAATGAGGTTTACGGGTTATTTTGAAAGAAGGGTTTTTTCCTCAAAATAACCGCATCTAAACAGCGTTTTTTATCTTGAAATAGGGTATTTCAAAAAAGCGGCAGGCACGATTATGCAAATGAAGCATGGGAAATTCAGATCCGCACTTCATTTGCAATTTCGTTTGTCTGCATTTGCATTCCTTTCTCGAAGGAGGAATGCAGTGTAGACATACCCTCTGATACAGAGGCAGCAGTGTGGAGTGGCTGGGGCTCCTGAGAAGTGGGGGCAGAGCACTATTCTATAGTCCAACCCCAGGGACTATAGAATAGTCAAGTAACCAATAAGAATTCATGAGGTTAATCAACTATTCACTTAACCGATATTTCATATCCCTTGCACAAGTAATGGGATACTGAGCATTTCGTCTCTAAGGGCTTGTCTACATTTGCAAGTTTGCTGTGTGTTATCTCTTGCACCTTTGCCCATACCATCAAAACCCCTGGACACACATCTACAGGAGCATGGAGCAGAACACATGTTGACCAGTGACCCTACTCTATCTACTTTTGCATTTTACCGTCTGGAGAAGTCAAGTGGGTACCACCTGACTTTGAGCCAAGATAACCCTGCAGGGTCATTGCCACAGTTTGCTGAACTTGTTTCGTCCTGCCCTTCTGCTTAGAATCATAGAAGACGGGTTGGAACAGACCTCAGGAGGTCATCTAGTCCAACCCCTTGCTCAAAACAGGACCAACCCTAACCAAATCATCCAAGCCAGGGCTTTGTCAAGCCGGGACTTAAAAAGCATATTCTCTTCTCACTTGCCCTCTGTGCACCAGAAGCTACATGGCCTTTAACTCATTTTTTCCCCCATACAACGTTATTCAGCTTCTGCATAGCTCAGTCCAACTTTGCCAAACATCAATAAGCCCACCAGACAGTTCACTGCTAGCTAGATGGAGGAGCAACCCAGGGTTCTAGTTAAGAGTTGGTGAGAGTACTCCTAAGATCCTGATTTCATCCATGTCATCCACCTGTATGAGGCCAGCTCAAAGAGGCAGGCAAAGCTGGGCATACACTAGCTTGGTGCACTATGCTGGGGGTGTACCAATCACCTGAAGCAGCCGGATGAAAAGGAAAGGATGGGAGCAGCAGGTTGGATGCTGTGCTGACAAGATATCCTTTCTGTGATGAGCTGTATTCACTTGTGTGATGACGTGTCGGGGTTCCCCCAACACTGCACCCCCGTAGCAGCAAGAACAGACTCCTCCAGCCAGTAGAATAGAGAGGGGTTATTGCTTCTCCAGGATACAGCACAGCATAGACATGATGTGTTTACAGGACTCTGGTCCAGGATGCCTCAGACCCCTTGAGATGGGGTCCCTGAGCCCTTCGATTCCAGCCCCCTCCTTAGACTGGTTCCTTCATGATTCCAGCCCAAGACTGACCCTTCCCCCAACACTCACTTCCCTCGCTGCCCTCACCCAGGTGTTCGTCTCTGCCTCCCTTCCTTTGTCTGTCCCTCTGGGAAGAGACTTGTTAACTTCTCAAGCTGGAACTAGGTGTCTAGGCATGTGGGTGAGTCAGTGGGAATCACACATCACAGCACAGGGGATCACCGGGTGACAGAGCAGACAGCACCCACACTACATCACATCTCTCCCCTCCAAGAGCGAACTGAGCAGGGTCACTCCTCTTGTGACCTGGGGAAGTTTGGGTCCGCTGCCCGGTAAAGCCACACTGGTGAAATTGGCGCTCCCCTTGGCTTGGGCTGGGCACGGCGCTGCCCTGCAGGAGCTGGCTACCCCCTGTCCAGTTGTTGCATGGCTTTGAGGGGGCCAGCACGGGCTCATTCTCTGTGGCTGTACCAGCCCTTCCACTTCCCTTGAGCTCTGGCCAGTGTCTCTCTGAATGGGCCCATGAGCTCAGCGAGCCATTCCCAGAAAGGTAGGATGTCTTCCACCCCTGCACTCCATCCAGGGAGGTTTCCCCCTCCCATAACTCTCTCAGCAAGCCCAGGGGGTCCTTCCCCCTTCTGCACCCTGGTTCTGTTGGGGAGAACCTGCCAGACCTTTGGGGTGCCTCCCTATGTGCAGACAGCAGGTGGGGCAGATACTTGTCCCAGTCCTGCAGGTGCTGGCGCAGGAAGGCCTCCAGCATCTGCTTCAGGGTCCCCTGGAACCTCCTCATCAGCCCACTGGACCGGAAGCCATACACTGGGGCCCAGGTGAGCTGGGCCCCATGCTTCTCCCACAAGCTCCAGAGCAGGGCCGACATGAAGTTGGCTCCCTGGTCCATGAGGGCCTCTTGGGGGAACCCCACTCTGCTGAAAATGGCCAGCAGCGAATCTGCCACCGTGTCTGCCTCGATAGAGGGCAGAGCCACAGCCTCAGGGCAGTGGGTAGCCAAATCCACTGCTACCAAGATGTATTTGTTCCCCGTCTGGGTCGCCTGGCCGATAGGCGCCACTATCTCTATTACTGCTTTCTGGAACGGCTCCTCTATACGGGGTAGGGGCCTCAAAGCAGCTTTCCTCCTATCTTGGGCCTTCCCCACCCTCTGGCAGGAGTCGCTGGACTGGCAGTACCGCTGCACGGCCGCAAATATCTCTGGCCAGTAGAAGTTTTGGAGCAGCCTCAGCCGGGTGCGCCGGATTCCCTGGTGCCCTGCAAATGGGACGTCATGGGCCAGATACAGCAGCTTGCAGCAATACTTTTGGGGAACGACCAGCTGCTGCTGGGCCCCCCATGCCTCCACCTTCCCGGCGGGGAGCCATTCCCAGTACAGGAATCCCCTCTCCCACAGGAATCTCTCCTGGCAGCCTTTCCCCAGGGGCAGTGCTGAGCCAAGGCCAGCCTGGTCTCTCAACATCTGTAAGGAGGGATCTGCCTGCACCTCCACCCAGAATTCAGCAGCTAGGACAGGGATAGGGACT